CATTTTAGTAAGCCAAAAAAAAAAAAAAAAAATCAAGCCAGAAATAATTCTATTTGTGATAGAAGCCAGATGTTTGGATAATCAGGAATCAAGCCGGAGAATACACTGGCACTCCATCAGAAAGCCGGGAAGCTGACTACATCTGGACTGCATATAATCTGATCTGAACTAGGAGCCAAATCTTCAACTGGCAAGAAATCAGCACGACTCCCTAGATCCCTAGGGAGATGGACAGATTCTTAACAGCCAAGAAGTCACCCTTCTGCAGCGATACAAGCAGAACACTTTCATACCTAGGGGCTCTGGAGTGGAGGCCTCCAGCTCTTTTAGTCAGTTCTTCCAGAGTCAGAGTTTCATATTCCTTGTAGGCTGCTGCAGTCCAGGATTTCTGAACAGTGTTGATTGTATTCACAAAGTCAAGGTTGTGCAAATAAGGTCTGCTTGAAAACCTGCAAAAAGAGTTGGAAACAGCACAGAAAGGTTGGAATTGAAGGCTGGTCTCTCACTGGTTGCACAAATGCTGTGATAATACAATATAAGCTCTTACTACCAAAAAGGCTTTGCAAGACAGCTGCAACATATCTGCATCCCATCATTCCCATAATACAGCTGGATTAATAACATCACAGTCTAAAGTTACATTAAGGACAAAGAATGATGCCCACTTCAGAAAGATGCTTAATTAAAAAGGTACAAAAAATGAACTTTTAACTATGGCTCCAAGTAACAAGTTTGGCCTCCTTTGTACATTAACAGATGTACTTGGATGCTACAATTAGCTTAGGTTGAAAGCAACCTCATTCGCTTCTTGCTCTCACCTTCCCTTTAGTTTCTGGAGAGGCAACTGGTTTACACGAATGCTGGAGGGAGAAGGAGACACTTTTTGTCCAAGGAAGCATGCCCAGTTACGGCCAAGTACATCATGCACCCATCCTGGAAGGGTCTCATGGCAGTAACTGGTTACATTTGAACCTTCTTTCGTGTACTGTAAAACAAAGCAGAACTAGGTTAATGTAATACATGTACAGCCACATTAAATCCCGTGCACTGCAGAGACACAACACCTGCACTTTGCTACATGTCAGGTTTTGGGACCTGCACACATTACAGCTACATACTGACTATATAACAGAGGAAACTCTGTCCACATATTCAGGCTCTTTCAACCTAGATGGTGTTTAGAGGACACTGGTATGAATGAACATTTCTGGTGTCCTACTATAATTCAGAGGAAGGTAGAACAGCCAAATAAGTTACAGACAGCTAGAAGAGCCAGTCCATACAACAACAATAAATAGAAAGTGAGCCTTATGAACTTTAACAAGAACACAATCTTGTTCTATCTATGGCTTGTGAAAAGGGCAAAACATGATCAGCTCCCACAGTTACTAACCTAGTCCCAGTTTTTCCTAAGAGGCATCTGGGCAGGGCGTTATTATCTTCTGCATTTATGTTACTCCTCAGGTACTCTGGCAATAAGCTTGGTGTGGAAACCCAAGTGATATAGCTGTGGGCCCACACAAGATTGAGCCAGCTCTTTCAAGATTTGTTGGGGACGTGTAAAAAGATAAGAGGACAGCTAGTATCTCACGATCCAGACTTCCTGAACTTCCCATTTCCAAGAAGCAAGAAAAAGTAAGTTTTTTCCCCCAAGAAGTGATAAGTGAAAAGGTAAACTGATTCATCTTGGTAGTTACACTCCAACTAGAAGTTGTGTTGATTCAGTATGTGGGGGGGATGGTGTTGCTGAAATCTATTGATTTGCGCGTGCAAATGTTATTCCAGGAACATAACTTGTAACACCTTCCTGTTGCCCAGCTCCTGCCTCCAAAAGGCAACATTCAGTCAACAGTATGTTCTTTTGCATTTCGTCTACTTAAAGTGGGATGATAATGAAAATTATTTAATGAGTTCAGCCTGCCTAATGACCTAGTCTTCTGCTGTTTAGATATACAGAAAAATAGTGAAGCTTTACTTTACAGGTTAACAGTGTTTTGAAAGCATAATACTTAGCCTTAAAAAGATGGGGCATGAAGTGGCAGGTGGTCCTAGATTCTGTTTAGAGCTAATCAACATTAAATGAGGCACCCCCCCTCCGTAAAAGTGATGTTGCCCAAATGGTCCTCCTTATTGGAGAAGGAACTGTTTAAGAACATTTCTGGGTCATTCTGCAGCTGGCTCAGTTGAGGATGCTATCAGAACAGGCTAGAGTCCCATTAATATGGATCAATGCTGTAAAAAATGCTCAGCCAGAGTTGTAAAGAGGTTTTCTGACACTCCTCTCCCCAAAAGGCAACATCCACTCTACATGTAATATGCTAGTTGTAACGGAGAGGAGAGTACAGGGATAACAAGGACAATGAAAGAAATACTAAAAGGATGGTGCATTTGCCAGGCTCTGCAGGGAATCTGAAGGAAAAGAACACCCGGCGATATAATTAAGTCTAGTAGGATCCAAGAGGAAGAGCTGGAGAGTGTTAATCCTCCACTGGTTTTATGACATATGAAGTTCACATTTGTTACCAATATCAGGATTGCAGAGGTAGTACTTCTACATTCACAACACAAGCGTGTCTCCTCCTAAAGGGAGCAGATTGAGGCATTGAAAGGCAGTAGTGTTACCTTGCTCTACTCTGCCCATCTCACAGTGGAAATAAACAGGCTGCGCTCAAGGGACAAGTGCACTCAGCTGAATTCCTGGGGGGAGGCAATGATTTGCTCTATAGCAGAAATGTTGAGAGGAATTCTCCACAATAGTGTTGATAAAACCCCAAAATTCTGCATCACAATTAGGAAGTTATTGACTTCACTATTAATCAGTCATGGTGAGCGCACTGTATTGGGCTCTACATAATAGCCTCAGTAATCAATGCTTACCCGTGCTTTCTAAAAGCCACCGCAGAACAAACACACCTAGGCAGAGCACTGCTCATCGTGAGTACTGATCTTGAATCTTAACAACCCATATGCGACTTGCTCGCTATCCTCATTCTAACAAGCTAGACAGTCTATAATATTTGCCTTGCATTCAAAACTGGATGGTGGCAACAGCTGCTTAATAGCCATGTCAAATGTCTGAAGTGAATGCCTATCTTCTGTTCTGTGAAAACCTGGCTATTCAGATTCTGAACCATACAAGCTTAAAATAAGCCTGTGAGAGGGCTAGTATATTAATGTAGCTTTACCATAGGATACTAATTTTAAAAAAACAAAAACAAATCAGAACTTTAAAGCATGTATTCCAGTGGGTCTGAACACAAACAGGATCTCTATTTTATTCTTTAGTTCTTCAGATTTGATTAAAGCAAAAATTGCTAGTGTCACTGTTTGATGCACAAATTTACTCAAAGCAGTACCATGCAAGAAAGCACAAAAGGGTCTAAGGCTGCTTGTTAGAAAAAAATGAGTCAATTTTTTATAGGAGTTTCAGTCTCCTGCAATAATATCTTACATATGGTACTGTTAGAAGCCAAGATTTTTTTTATTCACTGGAATATGTAAACATGGATTTTTATTTTTAAAGAATCAGTTAACATTCTTGAAAAACAGTGAAAATCCTAAACAGATCTCTCATCAACTCAGAAAAAGATTCATCTGCAGCAGAGGGAATACAATGGGGTTTGTGACCTTATATTTCTTCAAGATGTATTTTTAAATCCTGTTTTTCATCCAAAAGACAAGGGAGAAGCTTTGCTCACTGCCTACCCTCCTCCTTAGCCTAGGCAATATACTAAAATCATAAAGTAGCTGGTTAATTTGGGTTTTGCATTCACTAGAAATGAAAACAGTAATTGCAATCTGTTAGCTACTTGTTAAAATTCCTGGATTAGACCAGATCAGTTGCATTTTCTTAACTTGTTAGCTACTTTGTTAAATCTACCTTTAAGTGGCATAGCTTTGGATGAGAAAACAGACATTTTATTCAGACTAGTTATAAATTACTCTAGCTTTCACCAAGTCAGATTTTGATAGAGGTTGATAAAAGACTCAACAATTCTGCTCCTTAAATTGAGGACAGAAAGTACAGATGTTCTTGGAAACCCCCCAGCCTCTACACCCAAACCAGCCAGGATCAGTTGCCAGACTGACAGTAATTGTTAAAAATAAGTAAAGCAGCATCACAAGCCAATCTGGCATTTTTCTTTTAGTGAGCTTAAAAAGGGGTATGCCTGTTTTTCTGTTGGTTGTTTTTAATCTTTTCCAGGTCACCACTAAAAGAAAGGACTAGTTTTACTTACATGAAAAGTGAGAACATGAAATTTTACTTGGTTGATTAAAGACCAGAATAAGCATTAGCAGACTTAATTAATGGTACTGACATCAGCTTGTCTCTAAATGCTGGCAACCTGCATTCAGTTAAGATTGGTTTGTCTACCCCTAACAGAAAAAAATTACGCCACAAGATCAAACTGTGCCACTGTCTCCTCCAGCCTGGCTTTAAAGACAGCTCTTGTTCTCAAAAAAAGAGCTACAGAGAGCAGTGGCCACTAGAGGGCACAGCATCAAATACTTCAACATTAAAAACCCTTAACATCTTGCTACCTCTTCCAGCCTAAGAGCACAAGTTCACAGGCTTTAAAAGCTAGAAGGGGCTGTTATGAGCATCCTATAAAAGCACAGACCAAAGGACTGCAACTGCAAAAGCTCCCTTTCCCTAAAATATGAATGAAGAGCATCCATCCATACTACCTGCAACTGAAACAGTGCTTCAGAAAGGTGCCCAATCTTAAAATTCATTGCATTTGGCAGTAATCTTTCCCACTGGATAATTATCCTTATTGCTCAGAATTTGAATCTAGTTTCCAATATGAATTCTTCTGACTTCAGAGTTTGAGATGAAAAGGTGACCTATGGAGAACCATAGATATGAAAGGGATTCCTGAATCAAACTCATAAGTTCTTGTTGGTCTGATGCACTGCCTTGAATTAAAGACTTCTTGCTATTGGGTTGTGCTACATCTTGAATCAAGCAAAGTATCTTTCATGTCAAATCTTCCAGCGCGGGCAACTGTAGACAGACAGTTTGGGGAACATATTCAGGGCTCGACACTGGAGGAATTATGCCAACCTAACTTTTGAAATACCTAGCACCACCTCTTCCCTTTTTGTTCCTTCTTTCTTGTGAACTTTCACAGAAAGATACTGAGAGAAAAAAAATATCTCAGTAAAACACATCATTTCAACAGGACTCTAGGTTGTGGAAACAGACTGTACATGCTTAAATGCTGACAGAACATGTTACCCAGAGACACATAACACGGAGTCTCGCTGCTTTAATATTAGAGTCACTATTTCCATAAATGAGGCAACCTATTTATGCACTGGCAAAAGAGAGCATTTTAACAGACCAGCCAGCCATTCCACAACAGAAGGTGGTTTACTAAAATATATTTATATTGCCCATTAATGATAAGCAAACAGCAGGTGCATGCCCAGGTTTTGAGATCAACCTACTGAAGTCAAACAAAGACTGACTGTTAGTTCCAACTGATTAGCAGAATTAAGGGGCATCAGCCAATTTACTGCTAAGAAGGTTCAGTTTTAAATATTTCTGAGTAAAGTGCATTCACAGTGACCCGTCTTGAAGGCCCAAGACCCCCCCGCCCCCCATTACACTCTTGTACTCTACAATCTAAGCTCTCATTTTTAAAAAGCAACACAAACTGGGTTTTTGCTCTTTTTAAGAAGACCCCAATCGATAATGAAGTCCTTAACTCTCTCTAAAGAAAAAAAAAATATGGGTATCAGGAATGTCAGTCTCGTCTTTCCCAGTTCTGCTAGAGGATCTACTGGGAGTCTCAGAGGATACAGGTTAGCTCTTAAACCTTAACTATAGCACAAAAATAATCAAGCCCTTACTATAAGTTTCTTGCCTCAAAAAAAAAATAAATCAGCCTTTAGGGCTAACTAAGGCTGTAAATACTACATTCAAGTCAAATAGATAACCCTGATCATAAGATGACACTGTCCCCCCCCACATTAGAT